TGGAAGGCGAGAAGATGAATGATTAGAAAATTTTTAAAACGTGTTCACCTATGAGAAAAAATGTAAAAAAAGGGTTTTCCAGTAATAGATGAGTGAATATATAAAGCGGGTCTTACACTGAGGCCCACAAAATTTCCGAGCTCAAGCAGATGTATGACAAAGACCACAAACGTGAATTTTAAGATTATGGGTGGAAACAAGAGTTTTATGCGATTTTCGCTACATATAACCAGAGTCTTTTTACAAGACGAATACGTGTGCAACATCAATAACATCTAAGTGGTTAGAAAACCAAAATGTTCTGGTTTTAAATAAATTCTTGATAAACAAACATATGCCCGATGTTTAAAGATGTGCTAGTGGTATTGGTAACATTAAAGTACCCACCTCATCAGGCATGTGAGCTTTGCAAATCGTTGCTGCTTCGGCGCTCAATTTGTCAACTCCTTTCCGTAATGTCTAAAACAACCAATCTTATTTACTTGCTATCGATTAACTGGTGATTAAGCTAAAGGCGAATGTTAAGGAAAAAAGAAGTGTTGGAATATACCGTCTTATCGACACTGATGAGAATCTCCACGAGAAAATTGCGCTCAGCTAATCCGCTAGGAGTACGAATTTGCGTCATTTCCGATTCTACATTCCATGTATCACAAAGAGGACATTTCACAACACCTTGGGGACCTCGAGGTATTTTTGCGTACTGACAAATATTCTAAAAAAAAACAGGATGTAACAATTATGCCTAGGCGAACAAACATGTCAAATTTCAACTGACCAGGCCAAGCGGCTGCGAAGTTTGATCGAAGTCAATGCATTCGTTAAGTACTGTAAAGCTTGACTTATGGAAATGAAACAGACAAAGTCGATAGTGTGTAGCTGTGTCTCGCGTCAGCCTTTCGCAAAGCTAGAAGTAGGATATACCGTAATGCCACACAAGTACTTTATGAAGTCACAAGCCAAAAAGTTTATACAACTACACCTAAATGATGAAAAAAGGAAACTATAACGCCACAAGCGAAGAAGTCCCAGAGAAGGGACTAATCTTTATGTAAAGTTAGTTTACACAATAACAGCATCAAGATACTGCTGCTGTCTGTGCACAGTCACTTACCCATTGTTGCTGCTTTTGTACAAGATTACTCAAAGGTTTCTTGGAGAAAAGGCTTTTCGCCCATGCAACCCTTAAAAAAATTACAAGTAAGAAAGCTATCAACCCATATGCAAAATTTACCTGCTAGGCTTATCTATAGGAAAAGGAAGAAGTAAATTTTCATCAGGTAGCTCTTCATCACATAAGACACAGTACCGAGCGAGCCATGCTTCATACAGTCGAGGAACATCCTAAGAAACG